CCTGTATCTTATTCAATCCAGTATCTCATTTTTAAATCAATATATCTATCTTCTGTAAGACCATTAAGGAAGACACATGCTCTTATTTTTGCTTTAGTGTAATCATCCTTGTAATAAATTCCTATTAGAATTTACCACTTAGGAAAATTTTTGTTGTTGATAAAAAATACATCTTTTAGTTGGAAATAAAATTAGACAATCTGTGTTTCTCATGATAGCTGTGAGAAAGCACAGGACTAGACTTCATTTTCAAGTATGGTAGTTATATGAACATATTTTTAAAAATATTCATTGTCTCCAGTTCATTAAATTGTTAAGTAAAAGCTGTATTAAACATTATGTAATACTTTATTTAGCCGTAATATATACAGGCTTATCTAACAGCATTTGTGCTTTTCTAAGTCTCTATTTCCATTTTCATGCAAGCCATCTCAAATCATTTTGGAAAGCTGCTAATCAGTGAATACTTATTGAGTATATACTATCCATTAAAAACTACATCAGTGAAAAGTTAATAGGAACCTCTGTTGTGGAGGAACCTACATTCAAATGGGGAGAGGCATTTAAAAAATAGAAAGTTGTAAGTAATAAAATAAGTTAAAAACTCCCCCATGCCATGATCTAATCTTATATTTCTCTGTGTTTCACAGTGTCAGAGACATTACTGAGAGAAGTGAACACTGCTAAACTAAACAAAGCAAAACACAGGAGCAATGGATTTAATCTTTTAGCCTTGATGATGGAGCACAACCTGGGGAAAAACTGCTGGTGCAAGGGGCAGAGTTGTATTACTAGCAGACACAGAGACATATAAAGTGTGTGTGTGTGTGTGTGTGTGTGTGTGTGTGTGTCTGTGTGTTTATAGTTAGCCCTCCATTTCCATGGATTTTATAGTCATGTATTGAAATAACTGTGGATTTAAAATATTTGGGGAAAGAATTGCAACTGTACTGACATGTACAGATTTTTTTTCTTGTCATTGTTCCCTTAACAATGGCATAACACTCTGAATATAACATTTACATTGTATTAGCTATTACAATTAATCTAAAGATGATTTAAAGTATACAGGAGCATGTGAATAGGTTATGTGCAAATATGACACCATTTTATATAAGGGAATTGAGCATCTGAAGATTTAGGTATCCAAGGGAGGTCCTGGCACCAAAGCTTCATAGAATCTAAGGGACGATTGTGCATATATAAATATATATACACATATACACACAAACACACACCATATATATTATGTATGTAAACACATATATATATATAAAGTGTATTGAATACATAAAAGGGACATATTTTGGATGTGTCTTACAGAACTTTAAATACTCTGTTTTTTTAATCCTACTTTCCACTTTGTATAACTAAGTGCTCAATAAATCTTCATTGAGTGAATGAATAGAAGAAAATTGCTTTCAAAGCATTATAGGAAAATAGTATGCTCCCTATAGATAAATCCAGATTAGAGCCGAATACTAATCACATTAGGGTGTAACACAGTTTTTGTACAATAGTAAAAATAGCATAAGTTTGCATACAAATTATAGGTATACAGAAAGCAACAGGGCCAGCTTTTTTCACTGAGCTATACCTAGTTAATTCAGGGCCTTTTGCATAATACATGCTCATTAGATTTGATTGTATTGATTTTTTTTTTGGAAAAATAAATGAAAAGCCAATTCAAGCATGTCCTGTAACAATGAAAAGTTTAAAAATAGGTATGTTAGTGATTTAGTAATTAAAATGAGCCAACTTTGATTAGTGTTAGCGAGTTTTGAAATACCAACCTTCAAAGCCTCATAAAGAGTGAACTAGCACAGCTGTGGCACTAATTGGGTCTTCTCAGGAGCCTAATAAGGCTGAATTTCATTTAGTTAGCAGTGAACAGCTTGGCTAGGTTACAAGGACTCCCACTCCCCAAAAAATTCATCTGTGCTAAAATCAGCTGTAAATCTTTCTATGTAAGATCTAGTGTGGTTAGTGAATGAGCATCTAGAACAGAAAGAACAGAAACACTTTCTGGCTTCTACCAATTTCCATGCAACATCACCGCCTCTTGCCACCTTCCGCTAAGGAGGAGGTAAAATAGAGGACCTTCAGGCTGGAGTGGAAGTGGCTGAACCTGGCTTCTTCTGTCCCTTTCAATGCTGATTACCTGTCAGCTTCTAGAAGGTCAGCAGATTCAACTTTCCTTTGCATTTCTGTCTCTATTCCTCTCGGAGAAAGCGGGCAAGAAACCGCTTGCTGAAATGCTTTTCTCTTGGTTGTCCTCTTACCTCAATGGCCTCTCTCTTCCTTGGTCTTTTTATTGGCGCCTTCTTAGCACCCTGGCCTGCAAATGCTGGAGTAACCCAGGAATTACATTACTTTTCCATTGGTGCATAACAAATTACTACAAATGTAGTGGTTTAAAATAACAGGCATTTTGTATCTCATAGTTTCTGTGTGTCAGAAGTCTGCTCACAGCTTACCTGGGTCTTCAGCAAGGCTGCAGTCAGGGTATCATTTCGGCCTGGGATGTCATCTGAATGCTTAACTTCAGAAGGATTTCTTTCCAAACTTACTCAGGTTTTCTGCAAAATTTATTTTCTTCAAGCTATAGGAGGGAGGGCCTTATGTTTTGTTGGCTGGAGGCTGAAGGCCTTGCAAGCTGGCAGCTAGAGGCTGCCCTAAGTTTCTAGAGGTTTCCCTCCGTTCCCTGCCAGATTGTTTCCCCTGCATGACTGCTTGCTGCACATACAGCTCACTGTCACATATTCTATCGGTTAGAAACCAGTTACAGATCCTGCCTATATTCTGGGAGATGGGAATCTTACAGGTATGTGAACACGAGAAGGTGAGGATAATGGAGCACCTGAGTCTGTCCACTTGAGGGCTAGTTCTCTGTCCTCTCTCCTCTATCTGCACTCATTTCTTCTTACATCTCACAGCTATATCTACGGTGTTAAGCTTGATCATCCTCAAACTTCACACCAGTATAGCCAACTGCATAGTTTATACATAGTTCCTCTTGGATAGATCTAGTGGACATCTCAAATTTCACATACCCAAACCCAGAATAATTATTTCCTGCCAATCACCTGTTTTTCCCACACTCTTCTAGCCTCACTAAATGCCAGCTCAGTTACTCAGATAAAAACCTTTGTATCATCCTTGACTCTACATTCTTCATACCCACATCTAGCTTATCAGAAAATCCTGTCCCATCTATTTTCAAAATATATTCAGCCTCTGACCATTTCTCTCCACTTTGTAAAAATGCTTCCCATTTTATTCCCAGTAAAAGCTACACCATCTGGCTTTTTTATTACCTTTCTGGCCTCTTCTACCACTGTTCCCTTTTTCATTCCATTCCAGAATAGTGGCTAACTTGCTGTTTTCTGAGCAACCCAGGCGCCCTCTCACTTTAGAGCCTTTCAACTCACTGTTCCCTTTTACTGAAATCCTCTTCCTCCAGATGCCTCTTTGGCTGACTCCCTCACCTCCCTCATGACCTTTCATATGTGAAACGTTACAGATGAGGCCTACCCTATTCACCTTTTTGTTGTTGCAATCTGTTTTTTTTTTCTTCCTGTGTTCCACATGTCCTTTATACTGCTCTCCCTTCTCCTTTTTTTCTTACTACTTATAATCTTACAACATTCTATATAAGTTATTCATTGTATTTATTGTTTATGGTCCCCGTTTCCCACTAGAATGTGAGTTTCGTGAGGACACAGATCTCTGTCTCTTTTGTTCATTGCTCTATCTCGAGCCCTTAAATGTTAAATAGATGCTTATTAAATATTTGTTGAATGAATGAACAAATAACGCAGTTAGTCTTGTTCTCATCTTGGTATCTGCAGCACCTTCAATTAATCCTGGATTTATAAGCACTTACAAAACTATTTCACCTTCAAAACTTTTGAAACTTGCCATTTCTTGTTTAGCGTCTTCAGTTGGCACTAGGGTCTGATTTAAAATTTAGGTTACTTGGTAGCCGTCTGGTTACCATTCCAGCCCTAATGGGGGTAAGGTCTATCTCCATTTCCTAGCAACTGGCTCAGAACCTGCTTCTAGCTGGATTGACCACATAGAACCCAACACCACTGCCTCTGACTTTGCTGTTGATGGAAACTCATGCAGTTTAACCATATGCCAGATTATTTTACATCAAATGTTGCCTCTCACCAAACATGGCTGCGTGTACCTTGGTGAATATCTCAGTTCTTGTTTGACTCCAAGCATTAAGAAGGAGGTAGAACAGGCAACGGTAGTCACCTGACTCCTCTCCCAGCATACCCCTCCTGCAGGGTTTTTTCTTCTGTGAACTGTTTTTCTTTTTTCCTGTGCTCTTTTTTTTTTCTTCTTTCTGTGTCCTTATATTCTTGAAAACTATTAATATCTGCTTTTTGGGTAGGACTTTCTGTCATTCACATATACTTTAAAGTAGTAAATAAATGTATATCACTTTCTCTAGATTTTTAAATTTTAAATTGTCACTATTGCTATAGAATGAAAAATGTATTCTTTTCAACCACATTTCAGGCATTAGTATGCTGGTTAATTTGATTTAGGGCTTAAACATTAGATAAGTCCATTTCTGTTTCCTTGAACTTACATGAAAGAAGTTGCTTAGAAGTCTCCATGCATATTAGGCAAACCTTGGCTAGAACTTTCCATTTGAGGTTGGGTACAGGTGGATGGCGATTCATGAAGGTAGCTGGTATAAAAAAGAGGGTTATCTCAACCACATGGATTGAGAAAAGTTTAAAGACTCATTCTCTGCCACTATTGGAAGACAGGTAGCTAGGCCTTTGTCATGTGCTTTATGATGCTTCCTTTTCAACTTTAAGTTGTTCCTTAAAAATTAGTTTAATCAGATATTATTTGTATATTTGCTGTTAATGGAGTAGTATATGGTGATTTTTTCTGAGTAACATAGCCTGTACTTACCTTTGTCTTTTTCATTGTCTTTGAAATCTGACACTGATTTTCTAATTGTATTTTGTTAGGAAGCAGACTCTGAAACTTTCTGAGGAGATCATTTGGGCTTCAGATTTCTAACAGGTAATGAGAAAATATGGAAAAGACCCACACTACCCAGATTACACTTTCACAAGGTAGAAGTTAAAGTTCTGGTAGGAAATTGTGTAAAAAATAAAATCCACACTGAATTCATTTTTAAAAATTGTATGTGCTTTTAAGCACGATGTTTACTGTTGAGAATCAGCTCAACTACACAAACAGTAAGAGACAGATGTCAGTTTAAGTAGACAAATGTTTCAAAAATAAAATATTTTTTATCAGCAGTAAATGTTTTACTTGATAGACTAACTTGATAGTCTTAACTACATGAACAGTTGGATACAAAAGAAAATGTGTGTATTGCCAGCAAACATTTTCAAAAGATAAGCACTTGTGCCAAGTACTGCATGCTTAGAAAAATCTTTCATTTGGCCAGCTGAGACCACCACGTGTATTAAAATATGTCATCCATCATTTCAGTGTTAAGAGCGCCCCCTGGTGTGGTTGTATATTTATATGCTTCTGTGACTTGTAGATATTTTAAAAATTTCATTTTGCTATTAGATGGTGATGGGCCTTTTTTGCTGGGTTGACTTGGTCAGTATGGTGTATAACTATCTAGAAATTTGTATTTGATATTTTTCTTGTCTTTATCCATGACCGTGTCTGGAGTCAGTGGTCAGCTTGAAAGCCGAATTTGGGAATAATTCCTAAACTTCCTCAGTCAAGCTAATGGCCAATAATACATCATTTATTAAGTGTGAAATTATACATTGTGATAAAGTTTTACAGAATAATCAAGTTATTTGGTGGTAATAACTTTGTTAAGTGGCAAATTGCTGTGAACAATTTCTTTTTGGTAAGCTCATGGACATTATAATAATTTAACATGAGAATTCAGACAGCATATTTTGCTTTAAAAATATCTATTGTGTAAAAACTAAATAACCCAAACGTTGATATTTCCTTAGAAGCCAGCAACTCCTCTCTAGTGATATAACTTGCAAATATAAGCAAAATAATTCACCCATATGTCATAAATAGTACTCTCATTTATTATCTGTCACCAGGGAATAGCCCCATAGATTTGCAGCCAAAATTGGCAGCAAAGTACCTGTTTTGTAACTTTTATTTTTTCTTGTATTTTATTTTTAATCCTTTAGGAATATAAGCCATTCTTGCAAAGTAAAAGTACACATAATATTCTAAATCACATTTCTGTAAATTTGATAATTGCAATTATTTTCCCTTATTGTCTCTTCTTCAGACTAAGTTACCTTGATTGTTTTAACCATTTCTCATATAAATTGTTTGAAATTTAATAATTTACAGAACTGCAATTGTTAACTGTTTGCAGTAGACTGCTTTTGTTTTTATTTTTTTCTCAATGTTCCTCTCTCCTTTGATTCTGAAACCATAAGCTCAGTACAATATTTACATTAATTCCTGGCTTGTTGAAAGCATGTTTTTAAAAACATGGATTAAAAAAATCAGAGCAATGAATCTGCCTTAGTAGACCTGTGTTTGAATCCTAGCTCTCATATTTACTTGTAAAAATCATGACTGTGGACAAGTTAATCACTCTCTCGGAGCCTCAGTCTTTTCTGTAAAAGAGGAATGCAAATCACTACTTCAGAGGATGTCCTTAGTACATTTTTTACATTAATATGTGCATAAAACTTATTATATGCCAGATATGGGGACCTTATGACACCCCTTATTTTTCACAAGTCTGTGAATGTGGTACTATTATTTCTGTATTATTGATGAGGCTTAGTGATGCTAAGAAGCCTCATAAATGGACAAGCCAAGATTCTAATTCAGATCTTTCTGACTTAAAGTGAGCTCATAACCACTGTGCTGTGTATTTAATTTAATCATGTTTATTCATTTCTACTGATTTGTTAATTTATCTGTCATCACTGTCAAAGAATCCCCCACTTCACATAGAGGAAAGCAACCTTCAGAAAAAGCATAGAGGAATCATTTTATATGGATGCTCTTGTCTGAAAGCCAGAATTGCTTTGGGCATTTATTCTTCACTATGAAGTTTTTTCAAACCAAGTGGTGCATTAAGACATTGCTTGTTATTAGCATGATTGAGCTGATAATAGCAGTGACAACAAATAGGGGTATTAGGTTAGTGAACTTGAAGGCTCCTTTATGAATAATATAAAATTGGGGTAATGGAATGTTAATTTTAGAAACTGTTGCGTCCGTCTAACCCACCATTTATTTTGTGTTTTTTGTTTCCTGGACCTGGGAGCATAGTATAAGTCTTACGTGCATTGCCATTCAATTTAAGTATCTAATTACTTGCACTGGTTTTGTGAAGCTTGTATCAATTTCTTTATGGGTTGAGAATTATTTTTTGATTTTTATATACCAGATTTTCTGTAATTGCTACAGAGACCAATGTAATAAGTTTCTCATTTCATTAGTAAGTCATTTTGAAGGCTACTAATAGCTCATCACAGAAACACAGCAAAACAGGCCTGTTCTTTGCTTAATAAAATCTGGTGTTGCATATTATTTCCTTAGTCCTTGAGATTTGCTCTAAGAATTAGGCTGTTTGATCACAATTCAAAGCACATTGTTAGGCTCCTCAGTGGCTGAGTGAATGTTTTCTTGTTTAGGTTGTGTCATGTCCTGCTTGAGTCAGATGTATAGGCATTATTGTGAGTATGTATGCGTATTATTATGTCTTACTGAGAAGTGACAACCTGCTAGCAGCCCTCGCTCTCGGGGCTTCCTCAGACTTGGCATATGCTCTGGCTGCACTTCGGGATCCCTTCAGCCCTTCACTGCATTGTGGGAGCCCTTCTCTGGGCTGGTGGAGGCTGGAGCCCGCTCCCTCTACTTGCTGGGAGATGTGGAGGGAGAGGTGTGGGTGGGAACAGGGGCTGCCTGCGGCGCTCACGGGCCAGCGTGAGTTCTGGGTCGGAGCCCTGCACTGGGAGCTGCTGGCTGGCGCATCCGGCCTCTGGCAGTAAGGGGCTTAGCACCCTGGCCCCTGCTGTGCTCGAATTCTGGCCGGGCCTCAGCCACCTCCCTGCAGGGGGCAGGCCTCAGGACCTGCAACCCCCCATGCCCTCCCAAAACCCCCATCCCCGATCGGGGGTGTCCCCTACTCTGCTGAGCCCTGGCTGAGGGGTGTGGGCACGTAGGATCCACTAGGCAAAGCCAGCTGGGCTTCTGAGTCTGGTGAGGACTTAGAAAACTTTTATGTTTAGCTTGATCCTATATGCACCAATCAGCACTCTGTCTAGCTCCGGGTTTGTGGATGCACCAATTAGCACTCTGTATCTAGCTATGGGGCACTTTATGTCTAGCTGGAGGATTGTAAATGCACCAATCAGCACTTTGTTTCTAGCTCAAGGATTATCAGTGCACCAATCAGCACTCTGTGTCTAGCTCAAGGTTTGTAAACACTCCAATTAGCACTCTGTGTCCAGCTAATCTAGTGTGGGCTTGGAGAACTTTTGTGTCTAGCTAAAGGATTGTAAATGTACCAATCTGCACTCTGTCTAGCTCAAGATTAGTAAATGCACCAATCATTACCATGTCAAAATGGACCAATCAACTCTTTGTAAAATGGGCCAGTCAGCTCTCTGGAAAATGGACCAATGAGCAGGATGTGGGTGGTGTCAGATAAGGGAGTAAAAGCAGGCTGCCCCAACCAGCAGGGCAACTGGCTCCCATCACTTCTGCACTGTGGAAGGTTTGTTCTTTCACTCTTTGCAGTAAATCTTGCTGCTGCTCACTCTTTGGGTCTGTGTGGCCTTTATGAGCTGTACAACTCACTGCGACAGTCTGCAGCTTCACTCTTGAAGTCAGCGAGACCACAAACCCACCAGAAGGAAGAAACTGTGGACACATCTGAACATCTGAAGGAACAAACTCCGGACACACCATCTTTAAGAACTGTAACACTCATCGCCAGGGTCTGCGGCTTCATTCTTGCCCACCAATTCCAGACACGTTTCTAAGATAGATAGCATATTACCCCAGACACTAATTAACCTTACGAAAATCAGTTTAACCTTTAACAGAACCATTGAATGAGTGAAGAAATGGGATTTTTCTTAATATTTTACCCTCATTTCTGCCCTACAGTGGCATCTCCTGCCAGCCCATCTTACACACACACACACACACACACACACACACACACACGCGCACACAGCACATCTGGTAAGCGGGCTCTTTGACATGTTTACTGTCTGTGGAACCTCTGATAGTGTTTTAGTTTAGGCCCTGATACTTGGAACAGTTAGAATAGTTTCCTAACTGGATTCCACCTCTCTAATCAATTAATAGCAGGCTAGTTTTTCTGAGGCATAGAACTAATATCAGGTTAAAATAATTCAGTGTCTCATTGCTCAAGACCATCATCTGGTTCTTGTTTACCTCTCTTCTAGCTTGTCTCACTGCCTGCCATTGTCCTCCCTTCTTGAATGTTGTGCTTTGCTCTACTGACAAAATTACAGATCCTAGAATGCTTTTTGCTTTCTTTGCCTCCCTTTGTCTTTATGCACCAACTCCTGTTTCAGTAACAACCTTCTGTACTTCTTCTTTTAATGAGTCTTTTTAATTTTTTCAAAACTCAGCTCTACTTTTATTTTTTACTGCAGTTCTTCCCAGACTAACTTCCCACTGCACAAGCATACACCCAGCCTGAATTAGCTACCTCCTCAGTGGGCCACTAAAGTCCCTATGACCACTTCTGTTACTGTAAAGTTCTGTTTACAGTGGACGACTTGAAGCAGGTATTATTGTATCACAGTACCAGGTACATTGAAAATGTTCAGGAAAATCATTATTTATGAAGCTCATGAAGAGGCTGAATGAAGAATATAAAGATGTATTAGAAGTCCCATGAACCTCACGCCTTCAGTCAGGCTTTAAAGCTGATAGATCAAATGTCTACTGTCAGCCATTAGTGGGCAGGATGGGGAAGCAGCCATTAGTTGACTTCATGTGTGCTCTTTCTTCTATTTACATTGACACTCTCTCAGCACTCATGTACTCCTCAGTGCATCAAACTATCCCTCATGGCAGAGAGTTCTTGTAGCTTATTTAACATAATATCATCTCTTTCCTACTTGCTGAATCCTATTGTTGCAGACAAAAACAAATACACAAGTCCCATGTTTTGTAATTCTCCTTATTGGTGTGAAAGATAATCTGCCATAATTCTGTCCAGTGAGATACAAACAAAAATCCGATGGAATTTCTGGGAAAGTCCTGCTTTATTGATATCGATTTTTGTCTCATCTTCCGTTAGGCCCCTCCTTCCTTTCTCATTCCTGGAAGGTAGACATGATGACTAGAACTAGAGCAGTCACCTTGCAACCTTGAGGGAAAGGTCAGAAATTACTGACACTTTAGCCTTGATATCCTTGAACTTCTAAATCAATACCAGTAATTGCGTTCCCTTGGACTTTTCACTACTGACAGAACGTCCTCAGGTTGTGTTGAAGCCTTTATTATCTGGGTTTACTGTTGCATCAGTTGTCTAAGTTCCCTAATGGATACTCATTAGCATTACTGTTAAAATAAATGTATTAAAAGTTAATGGTATAAGTTTCTCATCTCTCCACCTGTATTTTATGTTTTTTAATTCAACAACCATATATTAAGACCCACCATTACCATGTACTACCTTAGACACTAAGATATAAGTATTGACACACCAATACTTATATCTTATTATGCAGATGACTTTCAGCCTTATGAGGGCACAGAAACATAAAATTAATTGCAATAAGCGATACAGTGTACTTTAGAATATATGATAGGCACAACAGTAGTTATGTAGAAAAGCCTGAGAATTGACAGAAAATATTATTTGCATTTTGATCAGGATGCCCTAAAATATTAAAAATTTCAATAATCAGGAAATGAATGTCTCGTGTGGAATTTCTGGCAGCATGGACAGGACTAATTCCTTGTGCCTTTTCAATAACACAGTGGTCACCTACTTGTGTCAGCCTTACAGCCTCTTAATAATAATTAAAATGCGCACAGTCTAGGGGACTTGGAGCTGCTGAGAGGCTGTCTTTGGAAGGCCAAATTGGTGAAAAGCAATCTGTGGAGAATGAGGGGCCAGAGATGACATAGGAAGTTACCAAGGATGCTACTGACAAGCGAGCTGAAGCACTAAGCAAAGAGCTGTAACAATGAGGGCAGTAAACAGGAAACTGAAGCTCTGTGATTGAAAGGCAAGAGTTAGTGGACAGAGACATCAAAACATCAGGCAGCCCACAGCCCAGAACAAATTCACAATGAGGGAGGGCTAGGGAACAAGTCTCCTCAAGAGAGCACAAAAATAGGCTGCTCTACTCTGGGAGTCTCAGCAAAGTCTCTGAGAAAAGCCAGAAGCAGACCATAATAAGGACACTATTTATAAAATCACAGAGGCCCAAAGGAGTTAAAATGAGAAAATATTCCCAAAATAAAAGATAAAAATTATAACGAGTTGATGTTTTGAAAAGGCACTAAATGCACAAAGAACCTGATTCAGAAACAGGGTCTGGGGACTTTGATTTCATGGCATGATATTGAGATTTATTTGGTGCAGATTTTGAAATGAAAAAAATAAGGTTCCAGGAAAGACAAAATTAATCTGGAATAAAATTTCTATGATTGGGCCAAATGCCATTCAGAATTATCAGGTCTTGGGATAAGCTACAGAAGGAAGTTTAAGCACATTACCACTTCTTCCAACTGTGACACACAGGGTTTTCCCAGAAGACAAGTGAAATGAAACCCGCCAATGATCTAGGTTTTAAATAGTAAGGACTGACCATCTTCAGTGTGCTTTAACACCACACAAAACTGTGAATACCAATAAGGCATCAAGGTATTTTTTTTTTTTTTTTTTTTTTTTGAGACGGAGTCTCGCTCTACCCAGGCTGGGGTGCAGTGGCCGGATCTCAGCTCACTGCAAGCTCTGCCTCCTGGGTTCACGCCATTCTCCTGCCTCAGCCTCCTGAGTAGCTGGGACTACAGGCGCCTGCCACCTCGCCCAGCTAGTTTTTTGTATTTTTTAATAGAGACGGGGTTTCACCGTGTTCCCCCAGGATGGTCTCGATCTCCTGACCTCGTGATCCACCCGTCTTGGCCTCCCAAAGTGCTGGGATTACAGGCTTGAGCCACCGCGCCCGGCCAAGGTATGTTTATGCTATCACGAAATACTCCATACTTTACCCAGGGTTAATGGATCAAGTTATGCTTTGATGCATGACTACCACGTCTGATAGTGAATTATAGATACTTTTCTACGGCACAAGTTCAACCTTCCTTAAAAATAAGTAAACTGGCTTCTGTGACTATAGTCGGCCTGCACACTTCATCTAATACAGAATGCCAATTATGTCATGCAATTTTACTGAGAGTGATTTTCTGAAATATATATATTATACATGTTTGCATTTTATATAGAAATATATATTAGATCACTTATAATATTATAGATGATTTAAATTATTCCCAGTGCAAGACATAATACTAGTACATGCATGATTTTTTTTTTTTTACTTTTAAAGTGCTATCTATGAGGCAGCATAATTATTTCACATGATGTCAAATTCCATAGAATAGAGATGTAATCTATATACCCTTTAACTTTCCTTAATAATTTGATGCTGATAAAGAATGTACAAATTAACCCACAAATGTTTTGAAATTATTTTGCTTGTAGTTGGCAGACTGCTTTCATCTATGAAACATAGTAATGAACCTCTAGAGTGTACTGTTTTCTAGATTTTTTA